GCAACATGGAGCATAGGATGAGTTTCCTTGTTTCACGTGTGAAGGTGGGAGGAATTTTTCATTTGTCCTAACCTGTCGCAAAGATTAAAACTTTCTAGCATTGAACTTGGAAAATTTGCATCCATAATACAGATAAAAATCTCTCTTACATCAGTACCTCTAGAACCCAGCCCAGGCAGCTGTTTTCCAACACACACACGTGCTTCAACATACAGAGTGAACTCACCCTCCCTCCTATGTGTACCTTAAAGCCTGCAAGAGAAGTGAAGGGTTTGGGTTTTTTTCCATTTACCTTGAGATCTGCTGGAGCAGGTTTCCTTCTGAGAGCATTGCGTAACCATTAGTTGAATTGGATTGCTCGTTCAAAACATGGTATATCTGCTAGATAAAGAAACCTGCTTTTATTTATTTTTTGCATTGAGCGTTCAGTCTCTGTTGGGAAGCAAACTTCTCTGTGTTTCTGGCAGAAACCTGAAAAACAAAACATATGCATGTGTAGTAATTTACCCTAAAGCCTAAAATTCTATTTGCAATATAGTGGTTGTTTCTTATGTTACTGGAGAAACCATGTATAGTCTGGTTATAAGCCTGGGAAATACAGTGCCTGCATCTAATTTTATTCATAATCTTTTTTCTATTCCAGCCATATGCTAAGATATGTGGCAGGCTTCTGTGTATTGCAGCAAGATTTCTGTGGCCCTGAGATGTCGCTGGCAAAGGACTGCTCAGAGTTTCATCCCAGTTAGAAATGGAGGCTTTTAATTAATTACAAGGAGGAATGCAGCATGATCAATACTACTAGACTTTATTTTCCAGAGCAGGGGAGCGCAGGCTGTTGCTCAGAGGCTACCTGTGGCCTTCAGAGCAGTGTGTGTTGTGCCTAAAAGGAATTTGCTGAAGATGCCTGTGTGTGGTAGTTGTCATGACATGTGCCTTCTTTGTGATCACATTCTCTGGTTCATTAGGTTTGTTAGGTTGGAACTGTACCTGAATATGAAGAGGGAGTGATTTTGCCCAAGCATGTTTCGCTTGCAAATAGTTGTGCCACCGAAATGTGTTGCTACCCCTTTGCTGTCTTCTAGAGATTATTACTTACCCTGGCAAAGTACTTCATGCGAGTTCTCCATATTCTGCTTCAAGCAAAAGGTTATACTTTTCAAATTGGTGGCGTGATCTTATCCAGCTGTTTTTTGCTTAAGTAGCTTAAGATTCCTTTAGTGGAGCAGCTGCATTAGTAGATTCACAGTGTGACAGACTCTCTCAAAGGGAGGGAGGAAGAGAGGAGGGCAGCAGTGTCGTCCAGCTGCTCAACAGGCTGTGTGTCCACACTGCCCACCAGGCATTTCTGCCAAATTCGTCAATTCACTACTGAACTGTTTGCATTATCAATTATGAATTTAAAAAACCAACAAAAACTTCACAAAAAGCCACTGATTAAGGTGGTCTTGAGCTGCTGCTCCAAGAAGTGTGAATTGCTTCAGGTGAGGAATACACCTAATTCACTTTTTCAAAGTTATAAACTCTCAAGGAGAAACTTTTTTTTAGCATAATTCTGCTGAAAAGGTATTAAAAGCGGAGAGTTTTTGGTAACTGCAACTGCTACAATCTCATGCAACTGATGCTGTGTTGGAGGGAGAAGTCAAAACTTTGGCTAGAGGATCTGAAGTCCCTTCATTTTTAAGTCTTGAGTTGATATTGAATAAAATATAAAGCCAACAGCTTCCCTTAGTTGTAGAAGGGCTTGATATTAACATTCATCATGGGTGTTTGGTGAATGGGTGGAGCCTGTGGTGAGTGAAGGCTGGTCTCTGAGTCAGCAGCTGGCTCACCTCATACCCCCACTCCTACAAACTCCTTAAGACAAAATGTCAAGTGTAGAAAGCATACATACTGCCATACAGTAGCAGGTGTCCAGTGGACTTCAGTAAATAACACTTGTGGTTTTAATTTTCTAATGACTGCCAGTCACTTAGCTGCTGTTTCTTCTGCTAGCTAATTACCTTGATGAGGACAGCTCTTGATCCAACAGCAGGAGCAGCGAAGCATCACTTCAAGGAGGAGTGGAACGTGTGTGCACTCTTTTTGCTGCCTGTTACGGGCCAGGATTAGCACTTGTGCGGTGAGCCAGATCAGGGAGCTGATCCAGCTGGGAGCTAACCTGATGAAAATAAATTGTGAGCACCATTGATGGCCACGCAAGGAAGGACTCTTCCTTTTGCTGGGACCTGCCTGTGGTTACCTCAGCTTAGAATGACTATGATTTGTACAGGCAACCGAGCAGAGACTTAAAGAAACGTTGGTGGCTACTATTGTAACAGCAAGAGGTCATGGTATTGCGTACTGTTGAGTAATGTTGTCGTCTTCTAGCAAAACTGGAAAACTAGGAATAAATTAGAATGGCTAGCTATTTTGATGCCTGCTGAAGCAGATGATATTAAGTCACTTTCTAATTAAAAAAATAGGTGTATTTTTAATAGTGAGGTTGTTATTACTTTGCAACAAAATTACTTTGTTGACAAAGTAATTTTCTTTACCTTAAGAAAAATGTATGTGGAGTTAGCCAACACATTGTTGGCATCTTCTTTTTCTTCCCCCCAGCCCAAAGGAAAATGCCATCCCCTGATTCTCAGAAAAGAGTCTCAGGTACTTCTCCACTTGGATCTGGTCTGTGATATCATGCTGTGGCTTAAGATCTGAAGTAGGTGTTGTTTCCCCACTGCCTTCCTCCCTTGCTAGCGGTCTTTGGGCAGCTATCTGCTTTGTCTAGGTGGCCGTGCTTTCCAGGTGTGGAGTTGATTTCTTCCCCTCTTTGCTGGGGCTTAGCAGAAATAATTATCCTGAAGGAACACTCACTTGAACAAATAAAAGCTTGTTATGGCCTTTGGAATTTTGCAGCCAATAAGTTGTCAATATCTAGAAGTAATGACTTCTCATAATGTGGCAACAGAGGCTAGGTGTACCTGGGCTTGACATGTTAAACCAGGTCATGCTTCTAGGTCTTTCTCCTTCCCTGCTACTTTCTAGTGAGATTAGATTGAGACAAATGATTTGTCTGCTCCTGCCCGGTTCATTGTGAGTGACTTTTCAAATCCCTTCAGAGGGAGTTATTTTGTTAAGTCTTCTGGGGCTTTACACATTTTTTTTTTCTTTTTAAAAGCTTATGTTCACTTTGAAATCCTGAAAGCTGTCAGCAGAGTTGTGGTTCTGCAAAATACATGCGAGCCCTCCATTTGGCAAGATTTTGGCAGAAGGGAAACCCATGTAGTGACCTACTCTAATTTATGTAGTTTCTATATCAAGATGTTATGTCCGGAGTAGGCAAGAATGCAAACAAATCCCTTTCAGCACATCAGTAGAGATAAGTGTATTAGACCTTAACTTTCAGCAGTATAAGGAATCTCCCAACTTATCTGGAGGTGAGTGAGCACAGGCAGTTCCTTATGTAGGGAAGGAAGGGGGGGGGGAACTGCTGGGATTTCTTAACTGTTTTGGAACAGGAGTGGTAATAGCTCTTTTTCTTCAGGGGCCTTAATGTACTTTAGTATGGTTATGGAGTCTGGGTAATACCTGGTTTTGCAGGTCTTAAATTGCTGATTTTAGCAAAAGTTGAGCAAAGATACTCTTTTCAACTTCTAGAATTCTTTATGAGAAGTTAAACTAATAGACGATCGTTAGTAGACCTATTGGTACCAAAGAAACCAACAAAGCTTCCTGCCAATATTAACTAAAGAAACTTCCCAAACAAACAGCTCTATTAAAATGTGAAAGAATAAGTACTGTTGTTCATTTATCTGTTAAGTTAAAAATGCCAATTTTTATCAGATTGCAGGCCAAAACCTTCTACAAGTGCTTTTCAGTGTTGCATTATACATATCAGGGTACCGCCTCAACCAACTGCTGGATATTTTGTGCATTTTCAATCTCAGGTATTTGATGCTGGTGACTACTTTGGTATAATGCAAGTAGAAGAGGTGGATGAGGAGGAAGAAGGTGATGAAGAAATGGAAGAAGAATTAAAAAAGAAACCAAATCCTGGAAATGAAACTTGTTTCAAAGTTATTGTAACAAATGAGAATGGGCTTCAAGCCTCCAATCCCAATAGGTGAGTAGTGATTTCAGAACTAGTGTTCAGTCTTTCAGTAGTCTTAAACCCTAAAATGATACGGACAGTTTGCTTTAAAACTTGTTTGATCCTATTCAGAAGTCCTCTTTTCTTACAATAAGAGATAGCTGCCTGTTTGAGGAAAGGTGCATGCTATGAGGCACATCTTGCAAAGGGTACTAGGAGTGCAAGTATCTTAACATTGTTCTTTTTTAAATCATGCAGGAAGATGCTTAGAAATCGGTTTTAGTGAACTGAGGGAGAAAATAGGGAAGAGGCAACCTTGAAATGAATTCTGCAGAAAGGAAACAAAAACTTTGTATTTGCAAGACTGTGTGCCCTTGGGGAAAAAAAATTGAAATAATTGTGACCTCCCCAAATCTCAGGCTAAAGAGGTACTAAGCAGCTTCAAAGTAATGATCCATGCACTATTAAATTTCCTCCAGTTGGCTAAAATATAATTCAACAGTGTGATCATGTGATTGGATGCTATGCATGCATATATAATTGAACACATCGAGTTACTGTTGGCTTTCTTCAAAATCAACTTATCTGTCATGAATATGAGACTAGTATGCAGCTATAAAACTAGAAAAAAGTTGTGTAAGAAACAACTTAATGTTACAACACAGTTTTTTGTGTTCTTATTAATTTCAAACATAGAACAGACCATTTGTCATATATTAATAAATGGCAGTGAGGTGAAGTCAGCTCTGCTGGAGATCTAAACACAATTCTGCTCAGTTCTCTAAAACTTCTTTTGCCAGAATTTTCACAACTTTTTAGGTCATAGGTAAACATACAAAGTCTAAAAATTTAAATTTTGCCTTGAGTAAAAACAACATAGAGCATAGGTATCTGCCTTTACATGCCTGCTTTAACCTAAGTCATTGCCTTTCTAAATCTGGGAACACACTTAAACTATAAAATTGAAAACAGCTCCTGTGATATCTTGGGCTTTTTTGCAGTGTTCAGATGTGTGGGAATGTAGGAGCAGAACACCAGCACACCTGTCTGCTAACAGATTTCCTAAGAGCTTGACCTTAGCATTCTTTGGAGCCTTTAATTTTAAAATTAAATGAGGTTTCTTCTGTATGTGGAATCTGAGATACAATAATTTTTCAAGGATACTTGGTGTACGTGACAGCTGCCATGCTTTTAACTTTCTGAAATATGGGTGGTGGGTTGGTTTTGTTTGGGAGGGGGTTGTTGGTTTTTTTGTTTGTTTGCTTTGTTGGGGTTGTTTGGGTTTTTTTTCTTTTTTAGTAAGTAGAATTCAGATTCTTCTCTGACTTGGTTCAGTAAGGGGATATTACCAAAACGTGGAGAACCCTTCTGTTTGAATAACTAAGCGGTTTTTTTGTAAAAAACATGTAGCCTAAACAAGGGATAAACTTGTCAAGGGAAGCTGTGTCACTTGTGTATGATTTTCTTTTGGGTTAGATTGGTAATTCTTTTAAAACAATGCATTTTTTCTAAAAGACCTGGGTGGGGAAACACCCCAAAAAAACCAAAGAGAAACAATCAAAAAAACCCTTAAAACTTAATCCCTTTTTTTTTTTCATAGCAAATGATACAGGCTTTTGATGATCAGATCTCTCCACCTAGTTTTACAGATGACAGTAGATGTCACAGAGCTCATGGCTAACAAGATCCTCAAATACTTTTGCAAAGTAATGTATTGTTTCCTTCTTCAGGCAAGAATATCAGGTTGATGCAGTGGAGTTAATAATGATGAAAAGGGAAGAAACTCTTGTGTTGCCAGCCTTTAAAGGGAACTGGGCTTACAAACTGAGTGCCCTGTTCTGTGTTTGCTCCTCATTTTCGTGGAAATACTAACCAATGCACAATAAGCTTTCTAGAACAAAAACAGAATGGCAGTTACTGCTGGGAAGTTGTTCCTAACCTGTAGTGTCACAACGTATACTCTGGGAGTGACTTTGGGAGTAAGAGAAGACTTAGTTATCAAACCATCTACAAGGACATGTAGCTCTTATTCACAGAATATTTGGCTATATTACGTGTAAAAAATACACCGTTTTAATGTTAGCAAAATTCTCTTTAAGCATTTTCCTCATTGACCACGCCTGGACGTACCGTGTTGAACATGCCCGCCAGCAGCTACTTCACGTACCTGGCTTACTGCACAGAATGACAAATCTCATGGGAGTTGGCTTTCACGGAGAGATCCCAGATGAGGGCAGTGTTGAGCAAGTGTTGCAGGAAATGTGGAAATACAATCAGACCTACCAGCTTTCTCAAGGGGTAAGTCTCTAAAGCCTAATTAGGATGCTAAAAAGTTCTGAGCAATCCTGAGTGAAGACATTCCAATATATGGCTCTTAAAGATACATTTTCAATACAAAAAAGGTCCTTTACAGGCATTTCAGAATAAACTTCTACTTGGAAGGAGAGTAAATGCCATGTAGGGCTAAAATGCACAGTGGCTTGCTGTCAGCTTTCTGATGAGAACTTTGAGGGTGTTTACAAAAACAGAGGAAGAATCTGCTGCAAAAGAAGGGGGCTAGAAGGGGGAGATCTGCTTGTATGTTATGTGGGTGTTTTCTACTTGAACTTTCTCGTAGTGAGGGAAAGAATCTATTATGAATCAACTGTCTCACATAAACATGTATGTCTCAGCTATGCTTGCAGTTTTCCTCACCTGTATAGAGTGCTTTAAATAGCAGGGATATATCTACACTGTCAAATAACTTCCTGGTTTGTATTTGGCAAGTGATTGTCTGTACTGTGTAAATGATAGCTCACCCTCAGGTGAGAACCAACTAGCCTCAAGATGGAGCCTAAGTGTTTCTGGGCATAGCTTACTGCTGCTACTTTTAGGTAGTGTGGATAAGACCACACCAGACTTGGTCCCTCTGCCCTACATAACCCTTCAGCACTGTACCAGCAGGTCTTGAGCCTTCAAACGCCCTCAAATGCATACATGCCATTTCTGAGGGAATGCAACCCTCAGGGTTCAGTTAAAAACTCTTTTGTAGGGGCTGCAACATACCTCCTAGGTTATTGTAAGTATTTTAGATTAAAGAGGAGAAAGGCAAATTCTTTGGGCCAAGCCCTATGCAGAATGGGTAGGGCTAACCCTGAGCAGTATGAGCATGACCAGCCTGCACCTCTTAACTCAGGGGCTTGAGGTTTTTCCCTGGAGTGGACACTTTATCAATTAAGGTATCAGCTTAACTCATAGTAGTATCAGGCCTGAAAAATCCCTGAGAAAGGGATTAGTTGTGAGTGCTTTCTTTTTTTTCTTTTTTCTTTAAATAAAAAGGAGTTCTGAAGAGTATCTCAATCTTTCTACCCTGTCTTTGTTTCCCATCTTGTTGTCATGAATGGCTTATGAGTCAGGTGGAATTATCCGTGTTACCACTTGAAAAGTGCTTTTCTGGAAGACAATTAATTCAACTTGTAGCTGAATTTGTCTTCTATTCCCCTTTCTGGCACTGGGCTACTTGAATATTTTAAGTCTAATCTCTGTGCCTCCATTTCCGCATCTGTAACAGGGCAACAGTAGTGCTATCAAGCAATTTAAAGCTTATTCATTCATTCAGGATTTTATCATGACAAGTGTTGCAGGAAGGGATGGTTTGATGATGCAGCCTCAACACTCTTACAGCCAGCTGTTGTTGCAGGGGGCAGTTCTGCTCTCCTTCACTCTTAAGCTGTAAACTTCCATCTCATCCTCGTAGTGAACTGGGCAGCAAACCTAACCCTACCAAAAAAACCCAAACCAAACAGCCTTCTGCTGGTTTCGCTCCCTGAGCTGGCTAGTTTGGTAGAGGGGAAGCGGATCTGGTAAGCAATAGCACTAGCATAAGGAAGAGGATGGGGCTGTGCAGTTGAGATGGGAAGATGCTGTTCCCAGCAGTGGCTGGGTGCTAGGCTGGCCTAGCCTCAGAGTTGCAGGGGTGGGAGTGTTGCTCTGTACTTCACACCTGCTCACAATCTTGGCTGGAGTAGGAAACAGAAATGGTGTAGGGGGTGCTGCCAGTGCCTTCTGTCTTGTGGTGCTTTTCTAGCAATTGATATGTGCAGGATGTCTCACTCCTCTCTTTAACGGTACAGACTGCCGAGGAGAAGGTTCCTGTCTGGTACATTATGGATGAATTTGGATCACGCATTCAGCATTCAGATCAGCCTAGCTTTGCAACAGCACCTCTGTTTTATATGCCTCAACAAATTGCTTACACTGTTCTCTGGCCTTTGAGAGACCTTGAAACTGGTGGTAAGTGTGTGTCTGTAAAGTTTTTTGGTTTTTTTTGTTTTTATGCCTGCAACAGGAGATGCACCATATTCTTACAAATCACTGAGCGCTTCACAGCAGAACAAATATTTCAAGATCAAAATGACTGCGTATTTGCAGTGCTACCGAATTTAAAAAGTTCTCTGCCTGATATTTCTAGCACCATAATTTATGTGAGATAGAGGCCTTCATCCGTGAAAAAATGTTGTTAATGTTTTATTGACAGAGAACTTAAATCTTGCATCACTGTCTTCGTGAAACTACAGATTCAGTCATCTGAGAGTTTAAAAAAAAATTTCCTTAAAAGTCTATTTTTGTAGCTTTGAGTCACGAAGTCAAGTACTTGACATTGGGAAATGCCAGGCCAACCCTTTGCTCCTGTAATCTTGGTTGGGGGCCACCTTATGCCCCCATCATGCAGAGGAGATAAGTGCCCAGCTGTCTGACTAAACTGACGTAAGTCAGATGGTTTTGGACTAATTTTTGCATTCTAAATAACACCCTTTTTGATGTAGTTCTTTAATTATCTCTAATTTTGCATTTAAATAAAAAAGTTGTGGTGTTATTAACTGCTCAGCTGTCATTGGTGTGATGTGGCATGAGGAATACTTTCAGTGGAGAACCTTCTAGGAACTGCCTTTCATTCTCCTTGTTTTGCTGCAGATGAAGTGACTCGTGATTACGCTTATGGGGAAACAGATCGCTTGATCAGGAAGTGTGTTTTGTTACCATGGGTACCTAATGAAGTGTTGGATGTCAACTGTTTTACGCCAGAGCCATCAGATGAGCATTACCAGGTATAATTTTAACAAAGCTCATATTTTCTCTCTTCTAAGAAGAGGTAGTGTGTCAAAACATTGCAAGAATTCTGATTTTGCTTCTTTTTAGGCTTAAAGATTAATTTAGAGTATAGCTATTAACTAAAAAAACCCAAATCATTTCAAAGAAAGTACGTTGAGACGAGAAATGTCTTAAGCATAATATTTAACAGTTTAAAAACTGAAGCAACACAAATTATTTCAAATATGTTACTGCAGTATTGTATAACTTTTTTTTATAAGCATACGATGTACTTCATATGAGGTACCCACCTTCCAGTTAGATACTTGAGACATTGTGTAATAGGCTTACTGATTGGATTTATTATTGCAGCACTTTTGGTCAGTCTTGAATTACAGAAAGATTTATTTCAGTATTTTAGGAGTGGTTATATTTTTCAACCTGGCTACTCATTTAATGTCATGATTTAGAACCATTAAATACTGGAGCAGAGATATCTTTAGTTTGATGGCACTGTTATAAAGTACTCATCTGTTTTGTTTAGAGCTCTCCTTTCTGCTAAAGGTTTGTGATATTTTAAGGATGTGAAATTATTGTTGTTTGGAATCTCCTTTTCATGAACCAGATCTGCATGAGGTTCTTTTTTAAGAAAAATGAAGGAATGTGATGCTTATGAGGACACTGTACTGGCCACTAGTGGCGTTCAAAGTGCTCCTTCTAAAGATGAATCTATACCCCAACTGTATGTTTCTTTTGATAGAGGATAGGTAGAAAATGCTGGATCCAGCTTGTTATTAAGAATGTCAAGTCAGTAACGAAGTTTCTGCCAAAGAAAGGTGTACATTCAAAGTAGCTAGGCTGTCTTGTAACCTAAGTCACATTGGTTGGTTGGGATTTCACATTTTTGGAAGCAGGATAGATGTACTTTGCATTTACAGATGAGGAACAACAATGCACCCATAGTTCCTGTCTTACAGGTGTTCTCTTGGCAAAAGTGCCTGATTCTCAGATAAGGCAATTTTTTGCATGTGTTTTAATTCTGTTTTGGGATGATCAGGTCAAGTTAAAGAACAGTGTGTGGCAAATATGCAAACAGTATCCTCCTTTACCACCCCACCTTAAAAACATTTTCTCAAAGCATCCTTTTTTTTTTTTTTTTCTTTACTTTGTCTCTGCCACTCAGCTATTCAGAAGAGGTGACAGCAAAATATTGTTGCTAGAACCAACCGACAGAGCTTTCTTTTGCTCTAGAATGTTTGGCTGTAGATTAAAGTCTTAACTGGTGACAGACCAGTGAAGAATAGCTTAGGGCACAGCACATCCTTAAACACCGAAAGTGAGATGGCTAGAAAGAGATACTATGTTGCTGACACTGCCAATTCCCCTGTTTTCAGGTAGGCAGAGCAGCATGCACAAAAAAATACAGACAACTTCAGAGATCTGTTTGCAGCGTTAATATGTGAGCCAGCATTTCTGCAGGGAAATAACAGTTGTGTGAAAACATTTCTGAACATTTATGCAAGTCATACTGTTTCAAAATTGTTTGCTGCTATCACTGTACAATTTCTGCAACTGCTTTACTACTCTGTGCAAATAATCATATGTTGTTAAATGGGCTGTGTTGTTGGTTTTCACTATAGCTAAGGATGTTATATTTCATATTCTAATTTTCCTTTAAATAAACCTGAAAGCTTCAGTGTTCTATTCAAAAGAATCACAGGGTTGTTACAGCAACATTGTGGCTTAACTTTCACCTATTTTTTGTTCTGTTACCTAATTCTGGTCTCCAACACAGACCACAAAGGCTGTAACTTAATGGTACTATGGGTAATGATTGAGCAATGATTGCAGAAACCAGTGTCAGGGGAGGTGGCTTCTCATGAAGTGTCTGGGATGGAAGAAGTATCTCGGGGAGACTAGAGTAGTTGCTCTTCTGCAACAGCTCCCTGCGTTCGAGTTGCAGAAAAGACAATAATGAATCCTCTGGTACTGTTCTGAGAACTGTAGTCTTCTCTTAAAATTACAGGCTCCCTTCCTATTCTTAGGTGACTGCAGGAATTGTTTTTTATTTGTACTGTCCAATCTGTTTTAGAAGGTGATGTCTAAGATCTTTGATTACAATTGGGGTTTCGTTTATGTTTTCCGGTTATGTATGATGGTATTCCCTATAACAACCTTAAAGGTAAAGAGGTATGTCTAAGGCTGGACAGACATTTCACCACTGCAACTTATGAGGACAGCCTGCAGCAGCTGGAACTCAGGGAGCTATTGCAGAACAGCAGCTACCTTGGTTTCTCAAGATGCACTTCTCCCATCCTAGAGTTTCTGTGAGATACTTCCTTTGGCAGGGTATCAGCAATGATCCGAATGTGTATTTCCTTTTAGCAGTCAGAGATGATGTAAAAGATGGAGTGAGATTTTTCAAGCATATTTACTGCTGAAGGCTGCTGAAGGCTTTTGCTCATTTTAACAGGAGCAGAATTAAGTTCCAGCCCACTATAATTTTTTTAGTTATCTGTAATAAAACATCATGGCTAAATGGTCAATCTTCCGTTTTGTTGGAAGTACAGTAACTTTGTCTCTTACTGCATATGATCATCTGTGATTTGATATTTTGTTTAATGCTTAGGAGAAACAGGAATTTCTCAGGGTGTTTCAACAGTGTTGATAAGCCGTGGTCTTGAAGCCATATTTCTTGTTCCTTTTTTACTAATAGCCTGTTACCTCTGATTCCCTTCTGCCCCTGCTCTTGTACTGGTTTTTTTTTCCCTGAGCAGCATATTACACAACAGAATATGTTTCTCAAAATGAAGCTTTGATGGAATTCACTTATACTGAAGACAACGGACCGATGAGACATGCAGATGGACTGTCATTTTTACCGTGACTACAAATGCACTTGTATACCTGTATTTAAATACTTATATGGAGATAGGGAATTGCAGAAAATTATCTGTAAAGGTTTATAATTTGAGAAAATTTCAACAGGCTAAACTTCAACAGGCTATTGCTGATAAAACACTTGGGTGAACATTGAGTCATACAGAATATTTTACCTGTAGCTTCTCCTTAAAGGTTATGTTGGTTTTCAATCACTTCTTTTGTAAACCTGATCAGGCACACTTTAAAATTCAGTTTGGTTTAAGTTGCTGTTCATACCTGCTGAATATTGTGGACTTTGACCTAAAGCTGCTCCTTTATTCTGCCTAGTATTAACTTTTTATGGGTTTTTTGTTTTCTAGGCTATTTTAGCAGAAAACAAGGAAAAACTGCCTATAGCGATAAACCCACCAGTTTATGACAAAGACAAAATTTTCAAGTACGTATCCGCAAACAAAATGCTTTTTTACCAAGATTAAGTATAATAATGGCAGTGTGCTGAGGCTGAACAGCCTTTTCCAGCCTTGAACAACAGAGGCAAGTTGGGCATGTGTTTAGATGTAGCCACTTGCTTAAGATTCTGACTTAATAATTGTTCTTGTTGGATTCTTCAGAGTAAATGGATTGTCACTTACAGAATTTCTAAAAATAAATTCAGATTTTTTTATTTTTTTTAAGTAAGTGCCACCTTCTGGGTGAAAGAAAAGTTGCATAATGTTGTAACACTGTTTTAACTAAGGAGTACAACTAGAGTATGGAAGAAAGACTGAAGACTTCTCTGCATTATAGCGTGTACGTCCATAGGGGTACATGTGCTTCTCTGTGCTGTGTGAATATAACAGGGTATTCCCCTTCTTCAGATGAGATTGCCAAACAGGAATCTTGTGAAAACCTGGCATGTTTCAAATTGGATATATGCCTTACTACAAAAATGGGGTGTACTTCAGCAGAAAACTGGAAGAGCATTACAAAGATAAGGGATTTTTCTGAGCAAAAGCAGGGCACTGCATGGCTAGACTGCCTTATTACTAGTTTCATTCCAGAAAAACACACTATTATGTAGCATGTGCTGTGAGTTGCACTCCAGGGTGTTTGTAGTCTGACACTGGGATCCAAGTTCTTGCTTGAAGCGTTGTCCTTAAGGGATGAGGTTAGGCTAAAATGTATTTGATAGGTATACTCACACCCTAGCTTCTTGTGTTGAGGTGATTTGTTATTCACTAGATCTCTGATTACAAGACTGTGAGGATAAGCATAAGCTGTTTTTTCATCTAGTGTACTTGCCTCTGTTTCAGATAAGGGAGTCAAAGGTAGATGCATTCTAGTAGAGTTGGAAAGAAACAGTGAGGATGTTGGGAAATGTCGACTTTTATTTTTCTCTGCTACCTCTTCATTTTGCATCTCATATTTCAGGTGAATGGCATTTACATCAAGGAGGCAGGGAGGGAAGGAAGGGGGAACCACATGCCAAATCCTTCCTGTTCTGCTTCTAAGGAATGTCATCAACACCCTGTCCATGTACTCCTAAAGGTTTTCCTCTCTTCTTCTTTATCCAGCTCTTGTCTGAAGAGGAGAAAGGAGAGCAGCTTGGCCTCCACAGGAGGCCAGAAGGTCCTTTTTGTGTTCTGAATTTCATCTACTAAAGTTCCTCCAGGAGCAGGGTAGCATCTCAGAGTCCAGATGGCCTAGTGGGAGTTGCAGTCTTCCAGTGCTCTTGGCCTCTTTCAGAGCTTTAAAGGTTTTAAGGCTGTCACGATGGACAGGCAGATGAGAACATGTGAAGCTGGGTAGATATGTGTAGCCTGTTAATGTATATGCTCTGTCTTGTGTATTGCCACTGTTTGAGGGGATTCAGAAGAAAAGAAATGCATGAGGTTGGAAAGTTTAGAACCTGGGACAGATTCTTAGTCATCTTGTTTCCAAGTAGAGCTAAGACAGAGAATGGGAAAATAAAATAAATTTTTAACCTGAATCCTAAAAAGCAGGGGAGCAAGTACACGTAGTTTGATATAGCAAAATTATAGGTTCAAGTAGGTCTTGCATTAATAGTAACTGCTGCCCTAGGGAGAGAGTTCTATCCAGCTGTGCAGAGTGCTGGCTTGAAAAAAAGGTGGATAAATGAACTAAATGTTTCAAAGACAAAATGCATATGAAAAGTCCTTCCAGTTTTGATGGGATTGAAAGTAGGTGTGCTAATACCACAGTATTGCAGTGTAGAGGTTCTGTCATCTGTCAAACCCAGAATGGGACTTGGTGCATTTCTTATCTGTCTGTATTTTTATGTATATATGTGGATGTGTATTATCAGAGTAGACATTGGAATGTGTACCAACTTATTTAACTAAAAACAGGGGAATATCGTAGAAAATCCTACATGCCTCGTAGATGATAACAAAGGAATAGCGCAGTAGTTGTCAGGTGCCTGCCCTTATAGTCTGTGTTCTTCAGTGCAGAGGTCTGATTTTTTCAAATGTATGCATTAATACTGGATATACTAAAGTACCTAAGGGAACCTCACCACTAAACTCAGTGATAGGTATTAGCAGTGAAAAACATTAATTTGATATAGTGTTTCTATGAAATCTACGTTCTTGACATTAAATCACCTGCCTTCCAGAGCCTTTGACTGTCCCAAGACTTTTATGGTAAGACGATTGCGTAAAGAATGGATGGAGTGACTTAAACTTGGAACGAGTGGGATGGCCTTATTTTCCCTCTAATCTTAACCTCCATCAGCTTATTTCAGTAGTCTTCCTGCACTTGGCAAAGATAAATTGAGCTCCCCCATTTCTTTTGTGCAGCATTTTTGTGTTCTATAAGCAAGTCTTAAAATACATAATCCAGAGTGGTCTGGCACATTAATTTCTTAGCAAGACTTCAAGATTAAGAAAGCAGGTTTTTTTATTGTTAATGTGAGTAGCACCTCTGTGAAATCTTGTGTATAGCTGTAAGCTACTGGGGGAAAAAAAAAATCTTTCTAATAGTCTTTGATAACTGTATTATAGAAGATAGTGATTGATACCTTCTGTCTATCTATAAAGGCAGCTCAGTGTGGTAGTGGGAAATTTTTGAAAGAGAAATATTAGTTTGTTTAGGAAGGGTGTTCTTTGTTTTTAATACTTATCTGGGGGGAAAAAAGAGTACCAGAATCTTTCTTTAAGCCTGCTGTTTGGAGTGACTGAATGCAGGTCACTACTTGTATTTCTGTGTGGTGTAGAGCTTATGTAGAGCATTTAAGTGAGTTAGCACTGGGGGGGAATAGATTTTTGGATGTGCAAGAGGAGGTGACCCACCTCTCAGCTGAACTCCTCGTTTGTGTAAAGAACACCCTGCTCGTCAGCTGAGAAAAGTGGCTGGTGCCCAGCCAACAGTGGGAGTTTATTACTAAATGATGTATTTGGAAACATGGAATAAAAATGGGGTGGAGGGAGGCAACCTCTGACTGATTAAATGATGTCTAGGAAATGATGTGGAATAAGATTTACTGGAGTTATCAGATGCTGCCAGGCTCTGCAGGTGTCCTTCCATGCAGTGTAAGGCCAAATGCCTTGGCCTCAGGCCTTTGTTACAGCAGCATTTTTCATACCATTGCCTCTTTTTGACTTCTAGTAAGGGAGTTTGCCACAGGGCTTATGTTTTTGTTTGGCCTTAAGCACTGATTAATCCATTTTAATACCTTAGGTTATAGTTCAGCCTTGTTGTTACCCTAGTTGGAAGAATTGTTGAGAACCATCAGTTGATGAAACGGAGATCTCAAAGGTATTTGCTGTAGCTGCAACAGGAGGGACTCCCAAAGATCCCCTACTGAGTTACTTCCACTAATTTCAGTAAACGCCTTTTTTTGAACTTTACCTGTAAGTGCATTCAGGTTCTCTGGTAGCTCACATGCAAAGGAGTCCTATCTGTGACTTTTCATAGCTCCAGCGTAACACTAGTTTTGAATTAAGGTTTCATTTCTGTTCTGGAGAAAGCAACTGTAACTGGATTGTTTTTGCAGATAACTAACCAAATGATTGCATAGCCTTATCCCAACTCTAACCATGGCTGTACACCAAATACATAACACTGTACAAGTTTTTTCCAACCACATTGCTTTTCAGAATGAGCGTACCAAACTCTATACTTGGCTGTGCTAATTTTACCCTTTTTCCTGAGCTGGAAACCAGACACCACTCACATACCCTGGAACGGAAGCTGGGAATCCTGAAGGCCAGCATTCCAGCACTCTGCCACAAAAAAATTGTGCAATATGTTGGCAAAATATTTCCATACCATGCTAAAGGGGCTTAATCACAAGAAGGGGGGGGGGGGGGGGCACCCACCCTATCTTGTCTCACATTTATTGGGTGGATTTAACAAGCAGAATACATGCATTGTGTAGATCTGATGATCTTCTTGTTACCATGTAGCTAGGTTTGGATCCAGCTACACAGGACTAGTGTCTGTGGGATGATAACTTGTATTGTAGGGTGTGTTTGTAAGGGACTGATCTGGGACTGTATGAGCAACTTAAATTCTAGTATTTCTTATGTTGCATGTGTTCTTGTGTGTGTATTTGTGTGGGAATGTTGGATGCTTCAAGACTTTGTTACAGCATTATAAGGCCTTTTATCTTCAGGTCACCCCTTTGATTCCCTTTTGCTTCAGCAAGGACTAAAAGTTGCTCCAAACCAGGGATATTTGCATAGCATAAAGAAATGCTAGTGGGGCTGTATAAAGATATTAACTTTGCTCTGTTGCAACAGTGGGGAAAGACTGGTGACTTCTTTTAACAGGGATGCCAGGGTGACTCTCTTCATCTACTGTGAAGTCCGCTCTGTTAGTCTTAGGCTCCAGCATAAATAGTATGTCACATTGTAGTATGTCACACATGGAACTATGCAAAACATCTTACATACTTTTCTTCTTTTTAAAGAATATATTTCCCCTTGTGACTGGGCTATTTTTACAGTTCACTATTTCAGACAAGTGTCTTGCAGGGGAGTATCTCTTCCAGTTGGTTAGTAGCAGAAGAGAAGAAAGTTACACAATTGATAAGAATAGGTCTGGAGAAGAGGAAGAATATAGTGGTTTCGCATGGAAAAAATTAGTGGTTGCTTAGTCTGTTTAAATGTTCCCTTACCTTGAGAACTGTTTTCTATGTCAGTCTTGCTTTTTGAGTCATCATGCTGAATTCTGAATTAAGTGACCTCACTTTAAGCTGTAAAATCATCAAAATAACCTATATTGCTATCTGCTTGTTTTAGCATGTCAGATAGCCAAGTCACTGGTTTTATTTGAGAGGGGAATTTCCTAAGATAAGCAACATCTTGCCTCGTTCTTGGTTATGTTCTGTAATGTGTATCAGGTTTGGGTTGGGTTTTGGTGTGGTTTTTTAGTGGAGCTGGGAGGGGATTTGTATTAAATCTCAAAGTTGTGTGTACTTCCTGCACATACATAATGTATGTACTTTCATATGTTTTGATTGTTTTAAATGTCTCTGCATGAAGTTCTGAAAATAGCCTTCTGAAGCTACTGAGTTAAACTGACAAGATTTCCGATGAATTTCTTTCTTGTGAATGACAGCAGGTTGATTTTTAGGGCTCTTCCAGCAACAAAGGCATTTACAAGGCCTCCCTTGGGGACTTTTCATGTAGAATAGTGAATTCATGTTAGTGCTTCTCTGTCGGGGACTTAGTCACTGTCTTCTGAATTGCTGGTTTTGTGAAAGTTGTAGGAGCTAAACTGTCTTTGAGATTTCTGTCTCAAAATATTTTTTTTTTATATCTGTCCCACTTCAATTTAAAATGTTTCTGTGGGTTGAGATTGTCACAGATAGTGTGTATTGGTAAAGTATAATTCTTGTAGGAAGCCAAGCTTAAAACTTTTTTTCTGTTCAAGCAAGAGTTGATCAGTTTCAGAAACCAAACTCACATTGTTCTTCATGCGCCTTTTTCTTCTAGGGTTTTCACAGACATTCAGCAAGTCCTCAACAACCTGACACATCCCCGTTTTGTGTTCACAGACAACGAGGGAGAAGCAGACATCCTCTACAACTTCTCGCACTTCAAAGATTATAGGTTGCAATTGTTCCCCTGATGATACAAATTCTTTTGTTGCTATAAAAACTGTGTTCCCAAAGGCCTCACCAACCTTCCTCCTTCACCCAACAACTTCTCTGTTTTGTAGGAAGCTAAGTGAGGAAAGGCCTGAGGTAATGCTGAATCAGTTCCCATGTGAGAACCTCCTGACTGTCAAAGACTGCCTGGCATCCATCTCTAGACGAGCTGGAGGACCAGATGGGCCAAGATGGTTGCCTCGTACTTTTAACCTCCAAACAGAATTGCCTCAGTTCGTGAGCTACTTTCAGCAACGCGACAGAAGGTGGCTCGTGTTTCCACTTCCTTACATTTTGTGCTTTCTTGATCCCGCTTTCCTCAAAGACCAGTAGGCTGCACTTTGGGATTGGCAGCTGTTACACCACCATGAGCTTGCTCTTGCTGTGCTTACGTTCAAGTGAATTTTACTTGGAAAGTGTGAGCTTTTTACATCTTTTCTTTAATGTAAGAGTAGTTAAGCAATGCATTTTGAAACACAGAAACTTCACCATGATTTGAATACGGATTTGAAGCTGTTGCTTTTTGTCTAGTCAAGATCTTGACTCTTGTATTTAACAGATATACAAAGGATCAGACTGTTTGTAACAAATGTTGTTTTTTATTTCCAGGGGACCAGTAGCAGTTGTTCTTGCACTTAAGCCAGAGTGGAAAATGTTTAGAATTAAAGTACTTGGGTTCTGTAACGTTGTGAAAGTAAAATCGAGTTTTAGTGTTAGCCTAAAGCAGTTGTGGAGCTTTAGGGTTTTAAAACCACACTCTTTACTTGGAGTGGATGGAAACTAAGATTTTCTTTTGGTAAGAGAGAAAGAGAGCATTAGATACTGCTAGTGGAATAACCTCTTATGCCTGGTGTGGAGTATTCTGGTTGAAATGTTTCTTCTTTAGCGATGTTTGCTTATGGTGCCACCTGCCAGGCATTGCATTTGGCCGTTCTTTGCTCTACATAGTCTGTTATTGACTTGCACGACCAGGAGAGAGTGCTCCTTCTATGTATCCCTAGTGTTTGGTGGTTTAATTCCTTTTTAATACCAAGGATTGACCATAAATGCAATGTGTATGTAAGGAATGGAAAGGAGGGGATAGGAAGTTTCAAATAAACAAATAAAACAGACCCTCTTAAGTTAACACCACTAACTTCAGCTCAGTTTATGCTGTTTACCATGAAGCTCAAGAAGTTTCTCAGGATGCTTTAGTAGGTTGAGGAAAGGAAGACATCAAGTGTCATTCTGTCCTTATTCAGAAAGATGCATTGAAATACCAGCATGTTGCCTATTTTCCTCAAAGATATTGCAAATAGTTTTGCCCCTTGAGGTGACTAGTTACTGGAAAGTGAGAAGATGGTGGTGTACTTTTGTTTTCTTTCAATATGAACTGTTGAGATATTGTGTGATTTCTTCCCAAAGAGACAAGTTATGGTGTCATTTAATGTGAGTGATTTGGAGGTATTATTAGGGAATCAACCTAGAAAATTGCACAATACTCTGCCAGAATGTTCTCGCACTCCTGGCAGAATGATTTCCACACCATGACCTGTGTGTGTTCATGATGCTGCTGCCCTGCTGATGGGTTGTTTTCCCCTTTTGAAGGAATCGCATGCAGAAGAAGGAAATAAACAGTAAGAGTACGCTAGGCCCTAACTGAAAGGATCAGTGAAAGCTACCGCTGCCTTTTCTCCCCTTTACACCTAAGGCTTACTACTCCCAGCTGTCAGTCAAAAGTCCTTGTACTGTAGCCTTTTTGTAAGCTTTAGAACGTATTTATTCAGGGGAGTACATAGATCCGTTCAAGTGGATGTTAAGACAGACAAATGAGGTGGATATTTACAGGTGTTGGCTTCTCTCTCTCTCCCTCTCTCTCAGAGGAGAAGACAATCACTGGATATGCAAACCGTGGAACTTGGCCAGAAGCCTGGATACCCACATCACCAACAGCCTTAACAATATCATCAGGCATAGGGAAAGCAGCCCAAAGGTTAGAGAGCATTGTTTTGAATGTGATTGAAAGGGGAGAGCTGAACAAACTGCTTCACAGAAGGTTTAAAAATACAAAGAAGGAAATTTATTTTTCTTCAAAATTCATATGCTGGCCATAAGCATACAGTTTCGATAATTCAGAATTGATTCAGGTTCAAATTGGTCAGCTTCGTTTGTTGCAGTGATGAACTCGGAGCCTGGTGTTTTCTTATTTAAAAAATAAAACTTGCCCTGGCAGTAATGAATACTCCAGTGTGGTGCTGCTTTAACGCTAATCATCAGACTGGCAGATGAACACACATTAGCTATAGTTAGCGCTGGTCATAAATTTTGGAATGTTATTGCTTCTGTCCCCTGGTTGATTGTTACTGCTCATCCACAGCTCTGCTCAGTGGCACAAAGTACCGTCTTTGCCAACAACAGATGAATCATGGAGCTTTTTATAGGGAGTCTGCAATGTGCAGTCATACGTCGGAGTGTCGCTTCAGCTTTATTTCTGTTGGTGTGTGGACTGCACGTATTTTCTGGAATGCAGAAATGCACAAAGAATTGCTTCACATTTCTCATTCAAAACAACAAGGTCACTGAAATTATAAATACAATTAATTTTGGTTGTTTTTTTTTTTTTAAATAAGTACATTCTGGCCTCCCACTTTCCCCACCCTGATGTCAAAGAGTTTGATTAAAAGGTACCTACTTGCATAACAACATTGTGTATTTGTGCGCATTTCTAAAGAAAAGCTGAAATGCATACAAGGATACCTTAAGTCATCGAGATCCAATGACACTTTTTCATTTCAGTTGAATTATATTTACTGTGAGTGGTTTTGCTTTGTTGTAGGTAGTATGCAAATATATTGAGAATCCAGTCTTGTTTCACCGAGAAGATGTGGGGATGGTTAAATTTGACATTCGTTATGTTGTATTGCTGCGGTCCATAAAACCACTCAAGCTGTATATCTATGATGTATTCTGGCTGCGCTTTTCAAATCGGTAATTTTGTTCTCTTCCTTAGTGTGGAGGGGCTTGGAATTAAATCTGATACATTGGAAACTAAGGAATTGTTTTATTTCTTAGGGCATTTTCACTTGATGACTTGGATGACTATGAGAAGCATTTCACAGTCATGAATTATGCTCCCGGTGTAACATTAAAACAGGTAAGCAAACAGTCCAAAACATTCCCTCGCCTTTCCGTTGTTAGAAAATCTTCCAGTGCCTCCTTTGTGACTGTTGCCAAATAACCTATTTCACCTCCACTTAAACAAGCAGTCAGTGTGTTGAAAGTACCCTAAGCAAATATTTTCCTAGGTTCTTCCCCCTCTGGGCCCCTAATCACCTGTGATTATATAAAGTAATACAAACTTACATCCTGAATGTCACCCACATTGATAGAGATAAGTAAAAGAATTATTAAAATGGTAGCTAATCATTGTCAAGGACTTCAGTGTGATCTTTTATAACAAGAAATACTGGAACAAGGAAGGTGTTCAGGAGCTGTGTAATTCCCTAGTTCTCTACCTGGGTTTGTATGAATGAGAAAAATATACTTGATGTTCCATTCCCTTGTCATCTGATTGCTCAGTCATTCCCAACCAAAACAGTCTTTGATGTTGCTAAACTGCTTTAGGTACACTGCGAAGAATTTATTCCTCTGTTTGAAAAACAATATCCTGAATATCCTTGGACAACCGTACAAGTAAGTCAGCAATTCGTCTTTCTCGTGTAAATGTTCATGGATCTTTATTTACTCCTCAAATTAGCTTTTCCAAAAATGTTGTTCGTTCTTTTTATTCATAAGACATACTTCACGTGTATCAGTTCCACAAAGGGCAACAAATGTTAACCTTTACTTTAGAAGCATTTATTAACTTAGCGTAATTCTCCCTCAAAAACTTTTGCTGTTAACATTTGAGAATTTTATTTCATGGTTACACTATGAGAATTCTTTATATTGGACTTAGTAAAAAAGCCAGTCCTGACTGCCCTCAGGATCCTGGGAGCTGGATCTTTTTTTCTTGCAAGTTCCATCTTTTTTACAGAAGGTTGCCGATAATCTAAACCCATGGTTGTGAAGACTTAGTATTTCATGCAAAATGGCAGGGAAGTCCAGAGTATGAAGTGTGCTAATCACTACAAATGTTGCTCACGTGACTGTGGAAGAGTTGTTTTCAAAGCCTTCACTACTCTTCAGTAGAATATTAACTCTGATTCTGAAAAGTTGAACCACTGAAGTATTCAGGCTCTTGTGTCCTTTGTTCCAAACAGCTTCACAAGACAAGGAGCTGTCAGAACAAGTAGGAGACTGAAGTAAATAGGAAATTACAGTATATAGGAATCTCAGTGAAATGGCATCACAGGTTTTGGTTACCTATTTTAAGCAGAGCTGTCGGTCTAAAGACCTCCCTGTACGCTTTCAGGTTAGCTTGCTGTGCAGTGCACTGGAGCTCACTCACAAGACAGGGATGTGCCCAAGTGGCTGATAGAAATAAGCACTGCCCCTGCTCCAGGGGTGCTGTGCTTGAAGGGTTACAGTGCCAGACTGGATAGTGCAGAGGCTGCATTTGTATACTGTGGCATACTTAAAAGGAAACAAATTAGGCTGATCTTCTCTCTTTTCTTAAAGACCCCTCCTCCGCCAATGTAATATCTCTGAGCTAGGAAGTTAGAACCCCCGTTTGTTAAATTAAATCTTGTCTTTGAGGCTGCAATGCAGAATTTCCAGCTGCTGCCCCAGCTTCTCTGTTAGCGAGCTGGCGAGAGCCCTGTCCCTGGTCACTGCATTAATGACCGTTCACAAGAAAACAGACGGTGCCCTAACATTAGGGCATCTTTTATCTGCAAAGAGGGAGCTCCAAATACTATAGTTCCATAAAACATGCAGGCAGTCAGATGAGGGCCTTCTCATTGACTTTTTTTTTTTTTGCCTGTAATTCATGCTTGAAAGAAAAAGCTGAATGTGAAGCGATGGTTCAGAAACATGCGCAAAACTGAATTGTTGCATTCTTCCATATCTATCAGGAGCTAGAAGATGCAGAATGAAGGGTAGCTGAGCATTTACATGTGCGTATGCTTTCAAAAGTGAATAAATTATCCAACCGTGGATTGATTTCCATAAATTAATTTACGTCAGTTTTAACTAGAACCTCACATCCACTCAATACTCGGAGTATGACAGGCTTTGCAGCATTAGTTTTAAAATAGTCTGGAAGAGACTACAAGGGGTTAAAAGAGAGATGTCAAAATATGTACTGTAGGTTACCCAAAGTAGTACTGTGTGGAGAATAGGAAGTATTACACCATTTTTTCATTTGCAGAAGGAATGGTTCACTGCAGTATAAACTCAATGCTAAAATTCACACCTCTATGTTCTTTGTTTTATTTGATTTTCACATTGGATATCTGATTGTTTCTCAAAATACCAATGTAGTATGTTCTTAAAATCTCCGTGTCCCCACCACCCTTTTTAGAGGGGTGTAAGTGGGTAGAAGATTTTTCGTTGCAGAACAAGACAAAACAAAGCTAGAATGCAACTTCATAGGCAGGAAAAAGTCAGAACTTCATAGTTGTACTGGTGGTGTTCACAGAACTCTCCTGGGTTTTCTTTCCCCTCCTCTACACATAAGTGTAATACTGTACCTAGTGCCTGAGAAGGGGGTTAATTCTAATACTAAATAACCAATTTCCAGGATTTCCATAGTACCGATTTGCACCCCAGAAAAGTCCATGGATATTGCCAGGTGCTCAGCGCTTAGTCACTGTGTTGTCTTTAGGTCTAAATGGACATTTTGAAGCTAATACTGTGCAGATTTTCATCTGTTGGCTAGTGTAATTTATACAAACTCTTTAAGAAGCTGTATGAATCAAGTGGTTAAAAACATGTTTATTGCTTTTATGGAACCTCACTTCTCATTCAGAGACCTTTTTCTGTTATTAGGCAAACATTTTTAAGGCATTTGCTGAATTGTTCCAAGTTGCTTCAGCTAAACCTGCACCTCTTGGCATCTGTGATTATCCATCATCAAGAGCAATATACGCTGTTGACTTGATGCTTAAATGGGACACCAGCAGAGATGGTAAGAAGCTAATTTCTTTGAATGTTGAATTCTTTATATTTGTGGACCTTTTCAGAAATATATTTCTTCTGTCTGAACTCTTACTGTTTTTCAAGCAGTGTGAGCTGCATCTCTGTGCCTCCCACTGACATCAAAGTGTATCTGGAGTTGCAGACCTGTGGGGTTAGCATCTGCCATGCTGGTTAACAGTAATGATGGGGGAGCTGTTAACTGTGCTTGGCTGAGTCTTGTGCCCCTGCTACTGCCATTCTCTGTTTAAAAAAAAAAAAAAATCCAAACAAAGACCACACACACCAAAAAAAAAACCCAACTGCACAGCAATCTAGTCACTCTCTGACAGCAGCAAGTTTTCTTTCCGGTTTATGGTGAGAGAATGTCTGAAATACCTATCTCTCTATGAAAACCTTAAAGAGATGTCTTACTATCTGTGGCTTCCAGGCTTGCCCCAGGGTCTTCAATGCACAGTTACGTATTAAAGCAGGGAAGGGACCACAGTCACCATTTGAGCGCTATTGATGTTGTCAGGACCATCACTCAGTTGTTGCCAAGTGTCTGCAAGAACATGTGTGTGAAGCTGCTTCGTGGTAGGGCCAGAGCATGGCTGACTACCTGGAGCCTTTCTTCCAGCCAGTTGTGGAGGTCTGGTGGCAAAATTTGCCAAATAGGGTGAATTCTTTATTATCTCACAAGGAGGCTCAAAAATGTTCTGTAAGCATGCCCAACCCAGACACTTGTCTCTTGTAGGCAGAAAAGCAGCAGAGGCACCAACACAAAAAGGACTGCCAGAGGAGTATTAAACAGAACTGAGTGTGCTCTTTTCTTGTGACATTGTGGTCCCCGAGACACAGGAAAAATTCATTGCTTGTGCCCAGGTTTGCTGGAGGAGTGATTAGATGTTTTATGTTGGGTGGGTGCCCCTAGACCAGTCCTGCAGTGGCTGATTCTGTCAATATTGAATCACTTTTATGGAGTGAGGTGATTGAGAAACAGGAGGTGTACAACTGAGCCTTTTCTGTTCAGATCAAGTGGAGCAAGGGGTTGAACCTGGGTCTGCTGCGTCCATGTTGAATGCTCTTTCAGCTGTCCCAGAGTTGTCTTGAATGGGAGAAGCAAAGCAACTCACTATTATTCCTAGCTTGAGGAAAACTATTGTAGTAAAAGGACCAGCCTCACATTACAGCCCTGGCTGAACTGCGTAGGTCCCTAACCTTTTGAAGATGGGGGCGTGGGTGCCAAAGTCATGGCTGTGATGCTGTAGGCAGCCTGTGGACAAATAGGCTAGTTGCTTCTGTGCAGAGCAGAGTAGCGTTTACCTATGCATCAGAAGCTTGTACCCTCACTTACGATCTCAACACCAGACAGGAAATAAAATCCTGTGTTTCTCTTTGCACAGAATGCATTTGATTCTGAACTCTGAACTGTACTGATGAAGCTTTAAGAGAAAATTTAACTTCTGACTTCCTTCTAGGAGTGAGATGAAGTGGCAGGTGGGAGTGGCTGGAGCGTAAAGGAACAGGACTGCTAGAACTAGAAAGGGAGATATCTAAGAGCTTTAAGAGAGGAAGGTTTGTACTGAAAGGTGAAAGGAGAAGCAGAGTTTTCTGGAAGATGTTTCAGGCTGTCAAGCAAGACAGCTGTATTGGGAAGATCCTGTTAAATAGCTGCAAATTCTTGTTCTAAATGAGGCATTGGATTAGCACAGTGATTGCAGAATCTGTTGGATAATTGTCCTCTGGATAATGATGGCAGAACAGACCTCCGTCCCTCCAAAAAAAACCAAAAAATGAAACCCACTGAAATAAAAACACCTTACCAGCTTGCCAGCTTGGGTCATAAAAGATGGCTTTTCCCAGTCCAGTGTGCATTTTCTATAATCTCTGGCTTAAAGATGGGGAGTGACTCAGGATCTCTATAGAGCTTGTATTAAGAGGCAATGTTTGTGTTCCCCTTTACAGGGAAAAGAATTATGCAGCCTCAGATCCTGGAGGTGAACTTTAATCCTGACTGTGATAGAGCCTGCAAATACCACCCTACCTTTTTTAATGACGTCTTCAGCACCCTATTTCTGGATGAAACAGACAGCTGCCATGTGACATGCATTGTCTAGCCACAGGAGGCTCAACTCTATTTCCTTCCCAGATATGCTTAACAGCAAGATTTATATTTCAGTTCTATGAGCTGCTGATGCAACTATTTTCCTATACTGGTAACCCGGGAAAAAAGTCATATCAAAAGAATATGCCTATACCATATACTGTATTGATAATCATTTTGTCTGCATTTTCCTTGTCTTGCTTAGTTCTATAAATCATTGGTTTGCATTGACCAAATATCTTGTTTCTTGAATATGGGAGACCTCAAAATAGGACAGTAACTGGAGCAATTGACTTGTTTCTCAGGTAGCCTGATTGCTTGCTTGCTGGGAAACATTGCACAAGTTCCTCATGTCAACATTAAAACTATAATTTACTGAATCATGTTGGAGTTTGTGTATCTTTCATATCTATCCGTCTGCTATACAAAGATGTACAATGTTCTGATAGGAAAATAATATGGTATTCCAGTGCAATGAACTACTAGCGTAATGAGATGAAAGATTTGGTGACTCTTCCCATTTTTCTTATTTAAAAGGCGGCAAACAAAACCCACAAGACTTAGGAACCCTGTACTGCTGGCTGTTGTCCTTAGCCTGCCCTTTAAAGAAACTAGATTTGTGAGAAATGGTCAGGCAGGAAGTGAGAGGGATGCAATGTCTGGAGCGGCACGGGAATACAGAAGAAGCCTGAAGGAATGAAAGGGATCTGGGAAACTCTGCTAGAAGTCCAAGCAGTTTAGGGCCTAAGATAGAGGTATTTGGGAATGGGGTGTCAGTTTGAAATTAGTCATCCCCATTCTCTCCTCCCTCCTCAAATCAGGGTAACTGGCTGAACTTTAGCAATTTTAGGCTGTACTTATGTTGCTTTGTACGTATGTACAAGTTAGAAAAATTCTGCGGTCCGTCATGAAGTATATATTATGTGGGTAGTATTTTTTTTTAAGCTAGTTGCAGCAATCAGGATCTGCTTGAGAGCAAAGTAGTTATAAAATTGTATAAATGTTCTAAACCTTGCTTCAAGCTTTGTGAATATGCAGCATGTTATCTCTCCTGATCAGGAAACCGAGAGGGATATTTTAGGCTATTTCAGGCTGGTCTGCAGAAACCTACTTCTTTCCACTGACTGGAACATAGGCTGGAGAAATAAACCATCTGTGTCTTACGAAAACTCAGTCACTGCACAGGTGCAGCCAGAAGGGAGAGCTGGATTGCACAGCCCGAAGTGGTGCTGACAGCCATATCAGTCTCCATGAGCCAGAACTTTTTTGGACTCCTTACTTAAACATAGTTAAAGAAACATGGTGAAGTGCTGAACATAGATGGTGTGACTGCAGGGAAGAAGTTTGTCTGTGATATAGAATGTAGTAATGAGTGCTTGAGACTGGACGTAAGGGGGCATGCAGTGCTGCTCAGCAGATATATTTGTCACTTGTAGGAGAGCAAAGGGCACTTTCTGCTTTCAAAGTACCTGAAAACGTAACAAAGTGCCTCTGGATCTAGAGAAGAGGGGAATGTTTCCCTCATCACAAAGGGAAAAGTGATCTCACACTTAGCAAACCATAAGAATGACTTTTAAAAAGTAGTAAGATTTGTGCAGAGGGACCACAAGCTGTGGGCAAAAAATAGTCTGTTGTTGTGCTCTTAGACAAAAGAGATATTTTTATCTTATAGGAAGCAACTGGTTGAACTAAGCATCCCAGATCTTACTGTGTCAGCTACCATAACCCTAAAGAGGAGAAACCCTTGTTTCTATTTCTAAGCAGCTGAAGTGAGAGGGTGCAGGTAGGAGACGCTAGTAGCTACAGTGTGTGTACTGCCCTGTTGGGCAACAGACCCACCCGTGGCCTGGCTGCTGGCTCCACTGGCAAGGCCTAGTGGTGAACGGGCATCACACTGAGGGTCCAGGTGGAGTATGTTAGTGCTGTTTGGCCAGTGCTGCTGGTGATGCCTCAGAGGTGTGTGCAGGGGGCTGCTGAATATTTGGGTCCTCTCAGTTTCTGTCCAGGTGCTCTCAATTTCCTGTTTTGTCTTGCCCGTTGCAACGGTGAGGAGAAGAGATGAAGGGGCTATCTTTGAGGCTATAGCATCCTGTTGCCTTCAGTATTTTTCTGCTCAAAACCATTTAAAAACAATAAAAACAGAGGAACAAGGTTAGTAAGTTTACATGTAGTTTAATGCATTTAGCTGACACTAGATTGCACAGTGCTTCAAAGTGGGAAGGCACAAATTGTGGGGGGAAAAAAAAAATAATCTTGTCTTAAACATTTCCAGAGTACAATGACCAGAAGATAAATCTCTGGCAGCTGTAGTGGGACACGTCATAGCACTAAAGCACCGTGTCTAGTGGTAAACATCAAAGATTCAGGCCACAATCATGCTTGTCACTGTTAGGAGCAGCTTTCTGGAAGCTGTGTTAATATATGGCTGGATTTCTTCCTCTGAACATAACGAAGTTGTAGTTCATGCTTCTTTCTGATAATAGTTAAAATGCTGTTGTCATATAAAATGTAATGCTATAACATAGAAAACTAGTACTTTTCAATCAGCGCTATCTTTTAGTTTGCTATAAAACTCAGTCAGGCATACACCCTTTTGTGACTTGCCTAGTAAAGACGTATTTGTTTTAAACAAGTACTGCTTTGTCAACTTGTAATTATCAAATTAATGGTACAAGTAGTTCAGCTAAAAATAAAATAAGGCCATAACTTTATTTAGAAAATTCTTGTGAAAAAAAAGAATAATCTCTTTGGCTGAAAAATGTTTATTCAGATCGGTTCTTGTTGCGATTGTCGTTCCAGATACGGTAATTGAGTGCAGAAGCCATGGTTAGCCAAGCTAAATAAGGAACCATCAAATAAGCTGCCATTTTGTTGATGTTATACCAGGAAGCAGTTGTAGCTGTTGCTGTACCAGTCGTGAGCAGGAGAGTCACCAAGCCCTGAAACACAGGAAGGTGGTTAGTGTTGCTTTTACTTGTTGCATTTGCTTGACTAGATAGTCTTTGTGTAGCTCTGGCACCTGTTGGATCCCTCTGTGAGTTAATTCCTTCTCAGAAAACCAGCCAGCAAAAAAAAGATAGATTTCTGCTGAGTTATGAGTTGAATTGACTCATAAAATGATACAACAGTCACAAGAAAGGGCATTGCAGCTGGGAGCAGGAGGGGGAGAATAAAATCCCCTTCACCTATACCCTCTCTTTTTGGCAGCGTTAAGTGCTACATTGACTACAAACCCAGTGTGACTTTGAGCAAGTCGCTTAGCTAAGTAAACTTATCCAGTCTTTTCATGTCATAGATGCTGCCTGAAGAGATGCGGTGTGAATGAATAAGTGATGGACTGGAGTCTTCCACTATTACAGCATTGCATATATATTTAGAGAACCAGGCAAATATTTTTTATTTTTATTATTGATTTTTATTTTTGAGGCAAGCTGTTTCTCTTCAGACTGCGGAAAATTAGTCTTGTCTAAAATGGGTGCTGATTACCTGAGTAATGTTATGATAAGCTGCTTATCACTGCTGATTGTGAGAGACACCTGGGAATTTTAATGAAGCATACATGTTTACGTTTTCTGGTCACACAAACCTCTTTACAAAGGGTGGCAGAAAGAGCTCCTTGAAATCTAAACATTTAAGGCTGTTGTAGATATGTAAATTCTCTCAGGTGGCTGCTGGGATGCATTAAAGAGAATTTGAGAAGACTTCTGCAAGCCATGTTCTGTACTCAGGCTCATTTTCAGGGAGAAAAGATTAAGACACAAAACTCTTGTCTTAGCGCCTTGCAAATGACAGCAGAAGCCTATGATTAAGAAACTGACTTTTCCACTTACCCATCCCATTTTGTGAGCTCCAAAAAATATTGGAGTCCATGCCCAGTTTAATGCCAGCTGCCCTGCATACAGACCCAGAGGAACCACCGACTTTTCACTGAAGCCCCCCAGTTCCTTCCACACCAGGTAGGAGCCATATCTGGAGAAAGCAAATGTAAGGTGTAATTCAGTACCTCGGTTAGAAAGCAAGCACGCATTCTTGATCAAATGAAGTTACTTCAGTGCTAGGGTCCAAATTCGTTTGGAAAAGCAGATATCCAAGTACTACTTGGCAGAGTAACTGACTGCACAGGGTTGATCACCTACCGTAGATAGCAATATGGAGAGAGAAAATTTCCCTGTCCTGCCAGAGTTCTCACTTCTAGGTGCAGAGGAGCAGATGACCTACTGCATTTCAGTCTTAAAAGAGAAAGCCATGTTGAAATGGAAGCAAGTCCAAGATGCAAGGTAAAAGGTAAGTCTCTAAATAGTGAAGAAACTGTTAATTTTCATACTGGGTGACGGTGCTTTAAAAATAAATTAAAAAAAAAAAACCACACTTTTAAGTGCATGAAATTAATATAGGGGGAGTAGGAATTGAGTGGCATCCCAAAGCACAGGTGAGTATGGGGATGGATGGTGTTAGAGCAGGAGGAACCCTATAGTCACTTTTTAGAAGGAACGGGACAAAGATGGGGAGAACAAAGATTTTCGGAGTTCTGTGGAAAGAATTAACCACAAGGAGCATCCAGCAGCCTTCCTGCCTGCAGGATCCTGGCTACTGAAAGATCTTCCAAAAATAGTTTCAAGATTTTGAACAGATCTTCTTAATGCCACAGAAGAACAGTTCACTGGAGGGATCCCAGAACATAAGCTGCTAAAGACAGGAATACTCAGGATTTGGGAGATTTACTAATGTAAGGTTTATTTTTGCACTAAAGGAGCCTGATTAGAACAGGGAGCATTCATCACCTAAGACTATTTCTTTTGCTCTTCTTTGACTTTCCCTTTAGGCATCAACTAGATTTCAATCCAGATCAGCGCACAGCCATTCCAAATGACTACAGTAGAATCCCCTGGATAAAATGCCAGTATCTGGAATTATACCCTTGTTTCAGAATTAGTAACTGAATGCCGATTCCATCCTGGTAGGAATGTCAACTGGACTGTGCACTATGCTGGACAGCAGGGGGCTCATACATATTTCTGCTGGCAGTGGAGCAAAGACAGAGACCAACTTGTAAGCATTATTTTTTTAGGAGCAGACAAACATCCCTAGGAGTAATTGCAAGGAGTTTGTCTTCATTTGTAGGTCGTACAAGAAGGATTTTTTTTTTTTCTGTTTAACCCAGTTAGTGACCCAAGCTTGCTTCTTGACCATTACTTTCATAAGGACCGAACAATGCAGCTTTGATATCTCAGCAGTTTGATTGCAGAGAATATTAAAAAAAAAAAGAAGGGGGGGGCAGGGGAAGCATTAGAAACTTCACGGTTTATCTTTGTAAAACGCATCAGGACCCAAATCTGTTCCTAAGTGATTTACAGAGCCACAGTGTGGACTTAGTTCT